TTTTCCAATTGATTTCCTGTTAACTATTATAATGCTATGGCTTATAATTTTCTACATATTTTTCAAAAATTTTTAAATATTTTAATCTAATATGAATAAAATGATCAAATATGCTTTCTGAAAAATTCTTAATTTCTCACTATAAACACATATTTGCAAAAACATATTTTGCTTTGATAAAAAGTATATACTAATGTGTAAAACATGCAGAAAATATAAATAAGTATTAAAAACAATATTAAGGTTCTGGAAGAATTAGGTTAAATATATGTGCTGTGCATGTATACATGTATTTAAAAATAGGTTGTATACATGGTTTTACCATTTTTGTTTCATAGGATGAGAGAATCAGTTTTCCACGTCAATATTTATTTAATAAAGCCACCATCTTAGGATAATTGTTTTCAAATTTTAATTTTAATAATATCATTTTCATCAGTAATAATTTTCTAAAATTGAAATTATATTTAATGCTTTTAAAATTTCTGTTAGCAAATAATCCTCTAGAAAGATGGTGCCAATTTACTCTCCCACCTATAGAGTGTTTTCACTGTGGCTTTCCTACTTCAGACAATTACAATTACAAAAAATAATACTCACAAACAGGTAGTTAAAATTTGTGCTCCACTTTGAATTTGCTACTGGGTTGCTCTTAATAATTTTTGAATATATTTTAATGCATATTTATAGCTTTTATTTGAAAACTGTTTTACTGTTCCAGTGGTCAGCACTTTCTCATCAACTTAAAAGAACACTTAATAATCACATGTCTGTCTTATAAGGCAAGGCATGGCTCCATATATTTTCTTTAACAATATTTAAGATCATTTTTTGGCTTAGAAAGGTATTAGTTTTAGTTAATGTACTATAAAATGTACTCACTATCAACATTTAATTTATAATTTTCTAATTTTGCTTTCAGACTTCAAAAATTTCCATTTGGAGATAAAATAATGACCCAGCACTCTCATTACCGGATACATACTTAAAATAGTTTTATCAAAAAGACACACACACTTATATATTCATCACTGCACTATTCATAATAGCAAAGACATGAAACCAAACCAAGTGCCAGTCAAAGATGGACGGGATAAATAAAATGTGGTACATACATATCATTGAATACTACATAGCCATAAAAAGAACAAAATTAAGACCTTTGCAGCAATATATGTACGGCTTGAGGTCATCATCCTAAGTGAATTAACACAGGAACAGAAAACAAAATACTGCATGTTCTCATGTGTAAGTGGCAGCTAAACAGTGAGTACCTACAAAGATAGGAACGGGTGGACACTGTGGAGTAGTAGAAGTAGGGGAGGGAGGAAGTAGGGGTTGAAAAACCTACCGACTGGATACTATGTTCACTACCCGGGAGTGTCCATTTTTTTCCTCATGGTCCAATAGAAAGTGAAAAATTTACCAGAGCAAGAGACTCTAAAATGATGGGCTTGTTACCTTAGGTACTTTATTGCATATGTATTTCAACTGCCTTTTTATATTAAGTTCATATTTATAATAATAATGTATGCTAATTTTAAGTTTGCTGACTTTAATATAATTACAAATTTCCAATAAGCAATACAGTGTTAAATTATCAAATTTCCTTTATCATCAAAAATATATCTCTATACCTAGGTTTTCAAATGATAAAATGATAAAAATTCTCTAGATCCTTGTATGTGTAATAAAATATATAAATACTATACTAATCCCTTAGCATCTTGGAAATATTTGTCATTCTATTTTGAGTATATTATAAGGAGATTTAAATTAACCAATGATGTAAGTACATTGTGCCTAGAGAGTAACTTGGTTAAAAAAAATATCAAAGAACCAACTAGGCATACATATAGAGGAAAACAAATAGGTAGATTTTTCCATTGTACTTATTTTAGTCAATATTAGCTAACTTATATGAAAGTGTTTCATGTAGGAACTGACAAACATTTTCTATGAAGTGCTAGACAGTAAGTATTTTAGGTTGCGTGGGTCACACGACCTCCCTGACACCTACTCATTCTTTAGTGACATTAAGTATGAAAGTAGCTGTAGACAATATGTAAACAAATAGGCATGTCTGTGTTTGAATAAATCTTTATTTACAGAAGTAGGCATGGGAAAAGATTTGGCTTCAAGGGCTATGGTTTGCCAATTCAGCTTAAGAAGCATTACAAGATTTTGGAGGAGAAACAGATATCCTTCTAGGTATAGCAATAAGGATCTGGGAAGACGTGTGTGGGTTACATGCCATATTATGCAAATTTACGTAAGGGAGTTGAGCATCTATGGCTTTTGGTATATGCAGGTTCCTAGAACCCAATCTTTCATGGATACCAAACAATGACCACTATGAAAACATCTGCATCTACATTGTGAAAAACAATTTTAAAAGAAGAAAATACTACAGTAATCAAGACAGTTTGGAATTGGGTAAAAGAAAGACATATGGACTAACAGGAAAAAAACTAAGACTGCAGAAGTTTACCCACATGTATATCATACATCAATTGAGTTTTGACAAGGTGTGAAAGTAATTCCATGGATAAGGAATAGGCTTTTAAGCATAGAGCTCTGGAACAATTGTATCACCAAGGCTTCTTATTTTCCTTTCCTTCACTGCTAATTTTAAGATGGAGTCTGGAAATAAGGCTAATTAGACTAGATGGTATTTGTCAGTTGAGAATTTAAAACTAAGTTCATTTGCTAAACAAATAAGATGGTTATGATATTCACGCTAAGAAATATTAGAAAAAAATTAAAATAATCACTGTGATGAAAATTTTAAGAAGCCAGTTCAAAATTAATTAGGATAGCCTAAAAGAATTAAGATCCTAGTTAAGGAAATCCATAAGATTTTTAGTGAAACAAGACATTATGAATTTTGACAAAATATAAGCTGGGAATTGACAAATGTAGAAACCTAATATATCAACATTTGCTCTTTCAAATCGTCTTTCCACCCTTGTTTATTGTACCCTGAAAACACTGGAGATCAGGTCAAAGGACTGGCTTCAGCCTCTAGCTACTGACCAGGTTTGGTTAATAAGAAGCCCCTGCAGAAGACTGGAAGCCAACAGGAAAGGGGTTGTCTGGTATCGTTTAGTCTCCTCCCTGTCTGTTCGCATTGGATTACTTATGTCTTACTTCCCTCCCCATGCTATCTCTCCCCAACCCCCCAACCCCTGCTGTCCCTCCCCTATTTCCCCCCAACAGACCCCAGTGTGTGATGCTCCCCTCACTGTGTCCATGTGTTCTCATTGTTCAACACCCATCTATGAGTGAGAACATGCGGTGTTTAATTTTCTGTTCTTTCGTCAGTTTGCTGAGAATGATCGTGTCCTTTGTAGAGACATGGATGAACCTGGAAACCATCATCCTCTGTTTCTTTAGGCCCAAGGCTGGTAACTATGTTTTGCCATTACTGGTCTCTTCAGAACCATACTATCCTTAGATTTATTTAAACTGTGCCCACATTTTAGTAAATAATCACTCTATTAAACTCTCCATAAATACCCAATTGGAGTGTGTTTATTCACCGATGTGACCCTGATGAACATATTGGAGAATGCCAACAAATCCATTGCAAATGATGTATTATGATGACAAAATGATTGGGAAGGCAAGAAAAACTGGAAGGAGATTAGGAGATGTGGGTGAGGTCAAAATAATCAAAGAAAAGTTGCAATGGGAATGAAGGATTGGAAAAGTGAAAAGTAGCAGGATTATGTTCAAGAAGACCAAACTTAAAGTTTTATCTCCTGGTCATAAAGAATTAGTGTCCCGATTATTTCTAAGAGGTGGTTAGGAGGTAAATTATTTGCGATACATTTTAATTCTGCTACATTTACCAAGAACCTTATATATGAGAAAAGACATATTAGGCATTGTCTATGGGTCATATCAGCTAAACCACACTCTATTAGCCTGTAAACATACAAGGAGAATACTACATTTCAACTTGCAATTAATTTATCATGTTAAGAAATTGTGTAGAGAAAATTATAGCATATTGAATATATCACCAAACAGAATGACTTGTTCTTTCATGTTACTGAATTTTCAGTCATAAATTACACACATAAAGCCTTTTAAAGGTTGACGTAATATGTGAAGCAAAACCACACACCCATACATATACAAACATAAAAACAGTAAACATTTTATCAAAGGAAAATTAATTTCACTGCCACAAAGTAACACTTAAAAATTCCACAAGATAGAACGTCTTTAAATAATGAAGAATTTTCTCTTTCTGATAAATGCAATTCTTTAAATTTTTTCCCTTTTTTACATCCTTGCCAATTTGATAGCAATTAAAAGGAAAGAAGAGAATGGTGATTTCAAATGTGCTTTAAAGTAACAAATGTTATCTAAGAAAACTGGATTGTCATTAATATATGAAGACTCTGAATTCAAATTCACAGATGCTATTATCTCTTTCAATTTTTGTATAGTACTTTTGTTAAATAGAAGACATGGAATTAACTTATATTCTGAATCATGTAAAATGAAACACCACAATTTTAAATTTAACAATGATATAACATGCCATAGAGGATAGGAAATCTCAATAAAGTTCCAGTGATTTCATCTTTCCCATATTAAAAAATGCCAGAACTGAAGACAACGTTAAAAAGAGTATGTTACATTGTGTTCAACCTGACAAAGAAGCTATTTCAAGAAATGAGAATAAAAGTTATTTCTAAACTTTGAAAGATCTGTTGTAATGAATTGAACTAGTTCAGTTTCTGATTGCTTGCCAGCAGTATAGCTGTCTCCAACCTACTACTGTATTGATCTGGTAGCCTTTGTGACAGTGCATAAAGAATAACCATCTGTGTCAGGTACAACAGCAGGTGCCTTCTCCATTGAACTGACTGCTGCCCTGATTACGAGACTGTTTAGAGCACCTGGTGACCATGACAGGCTCTTTCTTCTCTATAGAAAAGAAACTCATTTCTAAAAGTTTACTGAACAGAAACTAAGAAACTCACCAGAAATCATCAGCTGTTGAGGTGCCAGAATGGATTCCAGTGAAGACCAAGTAAGAGATCTAGTGAAGGGAAGATGACGGCTGGCAGTAGGAAATTCCTGATACTGCACACTAGGCTGAAGTTCCCATTTGGACCATTCTGAAGAATTCTTGATGTCTTTTTTAAGAGAGGTCATATAATTTGTAAAATCTGGCCAATCTGGCCTAGTTACAGACATGGAGGAAGTCTGTACTGAAAGTGCTGGAGTTGCTGAAACTGAGTAAAATGCAACATTGGTGGATACTTCTGAAAAATCAGGAAATGAACCTGTCAATGGTGGAAGATTATTTTTGACGTCATTTGCATGTATAATTTCTGAATATGTCTTTAAAGTGACATCTGGATGACTTTGTAAGTTTAACTCAAAATCCAGAGAACTATCACTTGGGTGAAGTTTGAACGGTGTATGAGATCCTTTACATTTTTCCATGTCCAATAAGCTATCTTGATTTAGTTCCTCAGTGGGTCCCGTAGTTATGCCATATTGTCTTACTCTCAATAGTTTTAAAATGTTTTCTGATACTGACAGTTGATCATAAGTTGGTTGTGAAGCCAAATCAGAATTCATCAAGTCTGAAGACACAGTTTGTGAAGGGACAATGGATAAACAAGTCATCTCCAAACATAAATTAACATCCAAATTACTTGATAGGGTAATGGATTCTTCCAAGGATGAAGATAAAATTGTTCTTTTTGCACTCATCTTAGAAGGAAATAAAGATGGCACTTCTGTGAATGCCACTGATGGTGTTATTTCAGTAGCAGAAGAAAATGAATGCCCAGAAGTGATAGTTTGAGCTCCCATTAGTGCATACCAGCTGGCTAATATCGCTGAGTTCATCCAGAATGTCTCATAAAAGTGGGACTGTTTGCTATGCAAAACTTGATCTGAGAATTCATGAGAGGATTTTATTTCAGTCATAGAACATGTTGCACATATTTGGCTTAATTCTTTTAAAGAATCAGCAGCCTGTGATTTGATGTTTGTGAGTCTCTGGTTGCTTGAAGCTTCAGTAATAACCTGATATTCACTGGGAATGAAGGCTTTTGTACCAAATCGGTGCAAGGCTGATGAGTTTAAGATGGTTACCTGTTTAGATATAATTATCTTAGCAGGAAAAATGGCAGGCATCGAGGAGCTCAGCAATCTCCCGTGCTCTTTTCTTGAAATTAAAGAAACAGCTGAATATTCTTCAATATCCTCTTGAGCCCCCCTAGAGACAAGTGGAGTTGCACTTATGGAGGCAGCTGTAAGCAGGAATCCACGGGAGAGTAATGAGTGCCTGTTTAACTTCATATCAGCCCCTGGAATGCTTTTAATTACTGAAGTCATTGTGGTAGCAGATGAAGCAACAGTCTGATAGTTCTCAAATAATAAAGATTGCGTAGGAAAAATAAAATCTGTCATTAAGGAAGACATGATAAATGGGGTCCTTGCTCTCCTATCAGAGAGAAAGAAACCTAGTGTGGCTGCTGAAGTTAGAACAGGCATATTTGATACAGATGTTTTGCCCTGGTCAGTTTGTGCTGGGTCATGAATACCAAAATTTAGAAATCGGGAAGAGGAAACATCTGTGGAAGAAAGAAGACTATGTTTTACTGAAAGCTCTCTAGTGACAATCAATTCTTCGAGTAAGTAGCTTTCCAAGGATGTGCTCGTTCTTAAAGTAGCCCAATCCGTAGTTGGGAGAATGTTATGCTTGACAACACCTGTCTGTTTTGGACCTACAAAAAGGAAAAGTGAAAAAAAATTAGAAAAATGAATGAAAAATGAACACCTTTGGCTCTGGGCTAAGTCTTCAGCAAATTGTACAGCCACTTCACATCCATTATATGCAGACAAATATGGTCTGTAAATCATATTTCTAATAAAAGTTTATGAGGATGTTTAATGACTTCACAAATTGCATAAATGCAAAGATTCTTATTATTCACACTCCATGGGAGGGCTAACATCAGAACAAGTGACATTAAACATAATTCACATATTCCCAACTAAATGACTCTTTTGAAATAGAAAACATGAAAAATTACACTTCCTTGTCACTGACACAACCAATGAATATTTGACCTATCAGGTTAGAAACGTTTAAAATATTATTTTACCTTTTCAAGAGACAAAATGTTCTTCTTTTTATTAGATAACACTCTATTTAAATTTAATTCTTTAAAATAGAAATTACATAGACAAAAATTAGAAATGATACCTTTCTATTTAGAATTTCCAATACCTCTCAGTTATCTTTTCTTAAACAAGAAATTTATTAAGAGCTATAATTTTTACTCTATCATACATGACACTGACTACATGAAGAGTAAATCTGAAATTTAATGTACAATGTACTGTTTATAATATGACATCACTTGATTTAGAAAGTTAAATAATAGGACATGTAAGAAACAGCTTCAAGTTGTTAAAATAATTCACAATAGGAAAATAAGCAAATATCTTTTATCTCAGTGTTAGTCAAATAATTTGATAGGAATATAAAAATTACATTAATTACTCAGAGAATATTAATTAAAGACATTGAGGCAAGTAGCACAAGGAAGTGTGCTGGGATTGAGGTCCAATTGTCTATCAAAATTTACAAGCTAAATAGAAACTGTTAATTCACATTTTTTTACTGATCCAGAAATGCTATTAGAAAATGACATTGCTTAAAACAAAATATAAAATAGGACACACAACCAATAATGCTCAATTTTATACTTATAAAAAGAATGAATGAATCTTAGAAAAAAAGATTTAAATAACTCAGAAAATATGCTTTTACAGCACAACTTTTTCAACCTCAAACTTCTTAATATCTTACTCACTTTTACTTACCTTGATCAACTGGGTAAGTGTCCATTATGGTCGATATTCTTATAGCCTTTACAGATGGAAAGCTACTGACCAAAGTCTCAGAAGGGGGAACTGTATATGTCTGTGTGAAAATGGCATCTGTTCTTTGAAAGATGGGAGGTAAACAGCTAATTCTCCTTATTTCATCATCACAAAGAAGCCCAATGGAGCAGGTCTGCAAATGACAATTATAGTAATGAAATTAAGCTCAGTTTCTTTGTTCCTGAGAGAAATTTTAAAGTTTGTTTTGAGATCCATTTGCATTTTCTTTGACACACTGGACAGCTCAAATAAAATAGTTAACTTGAAAATTAAATCTCTACAGTAAATTTTACCCTTACTTCAAAATTGACCCAATTCTTTTGAGATATGCACAGCTTAATGCCCAAATTTATTCTTAATTCCTTGAATATTAATTCAAAATACTATTTCACAGTTGTTTTTAGGATAGTTTCCAATGAGGAATTTGTACTGTATGGTAATTAATGCGGATATAAAAAGTTACCTTACAAATTTTAAAACTTTTCTGCTCTAAAAGTCATATTTAGTTGGAAACTAATGTAAAATGCAGTGTCTACAACAGAAAATTGAAAACATATTCTTGTGATTTGTAAATCATTTTAATTTGTATTGGCTTACAGTAGGAATGATCTTTACATGTTTTAGTTTGACATAAATAGGCTATTTCTACCATATCCTGTAAAATAGCTTTCACATGAAGAATCTGTGAAAGAAAATTGTGATGCTGTGTAAATAAGTACAAGTGGACCAGAGAGATATTTTTATAAATGTAGAGTTAAAAGCTAGTAATACTATATGAATCATTTTTATTTGTAAGATAATAATATTTCAAAATGATTTTAAAATAAAAATACAAATACATGTCTATTTCCTAATACTAAAGACATACTTAATAGGCATCCCTGTTTTGGTGTTCAATATTACATCTAATTTGCAGAATACTTAAGTCTTGTTTCAGATGTAGGTAGTGGTTTCACAGTTCCATATTCTGTAATCACTTTCAACTCTCATCAAAAGGTTTGTATAAATGTCAGATGATTCCTGATGTTAGATAACTGCTTCTCTCAACAAAGAAAAGCCCATGACCAGATGGCTTTACTGCTGAAATTTACCATACTTTTAGAAAAGAACTAGCACCAACTCTTCTGAAGCTATTATAAAACATTGAAGAGAAGGAAATACTTCCTTACTCATTCTATGTGGCCAGCATTACCCTGACACCAAAACTAGATAAGAACATCTAAAAAGCCACAGGCAAGTATCACTGTTGAACCCAGTTGCAAAAGCTCTCCCCAAAACCTTAGCAAACTCAATACAACAACACATCAAAAGGTAATACACTATCAAGTGAGATTGATCCCAGGGATGCAAGGATGTCTCAATGTATGCAAATAAATAAATGTGATTTATCGTTCATCAATGTCAAGGACAAAATCTATATAAATGTCTCAATAGATGCAGAAACATATTTGATAAAATTGAACAACATTTCATAAAAACTCTCAACAAATTTGCAATAGAAGAAACATACCTTAACACAATGAAGGTCACAAATGATAAACCCACAACTGAAATCATACTAAACAGACCAAAGCAGAAAGTCTTTCTCCTACGAACAGTAAAAAGACAGGATGCCCACTTTCACTGCTATTATTTTCTATTGTCCTGGAAGTGCCAACAAGAACAATTAGGAACAAGAGAGAAGTAAAGGAAATTTAAATTAGAAAAGAGGAATTCCAATTGACTCTCCTTGCAGACGACATAATCTTATATATAAAAAAAACCCTAAAAACTCCACCACAAAAGTTCTTAGAGCTAATGAATAAATTCAGTGAAATTGTCAAATAAAAAAATCAACATACAGAAATTGGCAGTGTTTCCATACATCAATAATGAACTAGCTGAAAAAGAAAATAAAAAAGCAATCCCAGTCACAATAGGCATACAAAACAAATACATATGAATAAATTTAATCAAGAAGGTGAAAGGGCTCTACAAGGAAAACCACAAAACACTGATGGAAGACATCGAAGAGGACAGAAATAAAGGGAAAGATATTCCACACTTATGGATCAGAAGAATCAGTATTGTTAAAATGACCATATTAAGCCATCCATACTGCTATAAAGAAATACTTGATACTCAGTAATTCATAAAGAAAAGTGGTTTAATTGGCTCTCAGTTCTGCAAGCTTTAGAGGAAGAATGGTGTTGGCACCTGCTGGTCTTCTAAGGCAGGCCCAGAAAGTTTACAGTCATAGCAGAAGATGAAGAGGAAGTAGGCACATTGCATGACAAAAGCAGGAGCAATAGAGATAGAGGAAGAGGGAGAGACTGAGCTGGGGAGGAGATGGGGAGAAGACACACACTTTTAAATAACCAGATCTCATAGGAACTCACCAACTATTGTGACAACAGCAGAAAGGGATGAGGGATCCACCCCCATGATCCAAACTCCTCCCACCAAGCCACACCTCCAGTATTGGGAATTGTAATTTAACATCAGATTTGGGCAGGGACAAATATTCAAACTATATGAATGACCATGCTACTCAAAGTGATCTACAGATTCAAAGAAATCTCTATCAAAATACCAATGTTATTTTTCACAGAGATAGGGAAAAAAATCCTAAAATTCGTATGGAATCACAAAAGATTCTCAATAGTTAAAGCAATCCTAAGCAAAATGAACAAAGCTGAAAGCATCAGACTCTCTGACTTTAAATTATACTATGAAGCTATAGTAACTTAAAACAGCATGGTATTGGTACAAAAACAGACACACAGACCAATGGAACAGAATAAAAAAGAAAGAGATATGTCCACATATTTACAGCTAGCTGATTTTTGACAGAGACACCAGACATTAGAGAAAGAAGGTTCTCTTCAATAAATAGTTCTGAGATGCTGGGCGTGGTGGCTCACACCTGTAATCCCAGCTTTGGGAGGCTGAGGCAGGCAGATCTCTTGAGGTCAGGAGACAGAGACCATCCTGGCTAACATGCTGAAACCCCATCTCTACTAAAAAAAAAAAAAAAAAAAAAAAAATTAGCCTGGCGTAGTGGCATGTGCCTGTAATCCCAGCTCCTCGGGAAGCTGAGGCAAGAGAATTGCTAGAATCAGGGAGGAGGTGGTTGTAGTGAGCTGGGATCGCACTACTACACTTCAGCCTAGGCAACACAGCAAAACTCAGTCTCAAAAATAAGTAAATAAATAAATAAAAATAAACAGTTCTGAGAAAACTTGATATTCATATAAAGAAGAATAAAACTAGACTCCCATCTCTCACCATATACAAAAACCAACTCAAAATGTATTAAGGACTTAAGCACAGGACCCCAAACAATAAAACTACTAGACGACAACACAGGGCAAATGCCTCAGGACACCGGTATAGGCAAATACTTTTATGGGTATGACCTCAAAAGCACAAGCACCAAAACCAAAAATAGACAAATGGAACTGAGTTAAACTAAGGAGCTTCAGCACAGAAAAGGAAACAATCAACAGAATGAACAGATAACCCACAGAATCAGAGAAAATATTTTCACACAATGCATCCAACAGCAAGCTAATATTCAGAATTTTACAAGGAACTCAATCAAACAACTCAACAATAAAAATTACAACCCTATCAAAAAAAGTGGACAAAGGGCATGAAAAGGCATTTTTTCAAAAGAAGACATACAAATGGCGAACAGACATATGAAAAAGTGCTCAATGTCACTAATTACCAGAGAAACGCCAATTAAAACCACAATGAGATACCACATTATATCAGTTAGAATGGTTATTATTAAAAAGGCAAAAAATAAAAGATATTGGCAAGGATGCAGAGAAAAGGGAACCCTTAAGCGTTTTTGGTAGGAAAGTAAACTAGGACAGTGTCTATGGAAAACAGTATGGAGATTTCTCAAAGAACTAAAAATACAACTACCATTCAATCCAGCATTCCCACTACTGGGTATACCTCCAAAGGAAAAATATTATTATATTAAAAAGATACATGTTTATAACAGCACCATTCACAATAGCAAAGATGTGGAATCAGCCTAAATGTCTATCAGTGAAGACAGGGTCAAGAAAACTGCGGTATATATACACAATGAAATACTATTCAGCCACATAAAAAGAATTAAGTCAGGTGTTTTGCAGCAACGTGGATGGAACTGGAGGTCATTATCCAAACTGAAACAACCCAGACTCAGAAAGGCAAACACCCACAGGTTCTCAGTTACAAGTGGGAGCTGAATAATGTGTACACATGGATAGAGTGTGGAAAAATAAACACTGGAGAGTTAGAAGGGCAGCAGAGGACAATGGAGGTAGATAATGAGATACTACTTATGGGTACAATGTATGTTATTGGAGTGATGGATACACTAAAATCCCAGATTTCGTTACTATACCATAAACCATGTAATAAAATTGCTTTTGTAACCATTAATTTGATACAGATTTTTTAAAAGCAAAATGCGAAAATTTTAATGTTCACAACAAAAAAAGATATCTTCACTATTATACTAATACCCTGATTTGATCCTCACACAATGTATACATACATTGAACTATTACTCTGTATTTCATAAATATGTACAACTACACCTCAACTAAAAATAAAAGAACAAAAGAACAATAAAGTGTTTATGTATAAAAACCTAAATATTAAATGGAAAAATATCTATAGCAAAAACACAGGATCCATAGGATCCATAACCCTAACGAATAAATAATGCATGTAAATTAAGAAAAAAGAGAGAACCGTAAAAGGAGACGTTAGAAATGAATAGAAGAAACAGCAAGAAAAATAATGGAATATGATTCCACACCTTAAAGACTCAGTGATTTTTTTTTTCTTTTCTCCACTCTAAGGTAAGAAACAAGCCCTGCAAAGACTTTACAGATTAATAGAAATGTACATAAAACTAGGGTAGAGATCAGAATGCCAACATACCAGCTTGCCATAAAATGTAGCTGTTACACAGTTCATAAATACTTTCATGGCCCTGGTCAGCAGTTTTCTCCCAAATCACAATCAGAATCCATTATTAATTACCTTGCAAAATTCCCATCACAGAATCAGGGAACTCTCAAAGTCCTCAAGATCAACAACCCGCTCTCTGTGTCAGCATAGATATACAATAACAGGTTTCCT